AAGTTCAGCTACAAAAGAACAGCATTGTCAAGCAATGTTCCCCACAGAGAGTGGATATTAACAGGAACCTTTGCAAATCTTTTCTAGTTAATCTAAAATACTGAATTTCTTTTTGTGTTCCACCTTCTCCTCCAGTCCTCCCAATATTGTAAGTGTCACCTTTTTTGACAGGGAAATTACGGACACTGAACAAATGGTCATGTTGTGGTTGTTGTACAAAAGCTTTGCATTAATTTTTACAAAGCGCTACTGATATATTCGCTAACAAGCTTCCTATAAATGGAAGTTATCAACACCCTTGAAATTCACCTTTTTTCTTTCTTACAAAAAGTTTTCAACATTTTTATCACTGAAGTCTCTGCTGAGATGACAGCTGACTAAAGTTACAATAGAATTTTACCTTAAAGTATTAAAACAAAATCTCTTGAGATTTGTATAGAGCAAAACCAGTTCTCACACTTTTCATAAAACTATTTGTCCATTCTAAAAATCAATTTCTGGTTTTATGACTATAAATCCTTTTGTCCTGCTAAAATTACTCTGTGTCAGGGCACAATCATGCAGCTGTTACGTTCTTAAATGAAAAGGAGAGTGACAAATAATAAGTGCCCTACTGGGTCAAATGGCTCATCTAGTCCACTGCTGCACGCTCAACAAGGGCAGTGAGAGATGCTATTTAGAGAGCATACTGGAACATATTCATCAATGGGTGTGCCACATCAAAAGCACAACCTCCTTTTTCCACGGATGCTAACAAATCCAGCTTTTAAAGACTGATGTATGCCTAAAATGCTGGAAGTCAGTCAGAAATCTTTATAAAAATGTCCTGATTTTCAGAGTCACTAAGCATTTGCTCCTCCCACTAATTTCAGGTGGCTTCTTAATGTTCAGCTCATATAAAAAAAATTAGGAATAATTCTACAGCTTGGACCTTGGGTGTCTGATACAGGCCAATAATTGTTCTGTCTGAAGAAAGAAATTATAGATGTTCGTATAGGAAAAATAATAGTGACATCTTCAGGAAGACCTGGAAAAGTCAAATACACACAGTATTCCATAGGTACAAAAAACCTACATATGATCTACAAACCTGTTTCTTGGCTTTCTGAACACTGCAAGCGTAATAATAGTTTTTTCACCCCCTCCTTTTTTTTTTTTTTAAATGCTGACTGAGGAAGTCTGTAGTTCTATAATAATTTACTCCCACTAAAACGCCTGCCTCTGTTGAAAGGAATGCTGTCAAAGCCAGCTTAGGTTCCAGCTGATTTAAATAAAAGTACACAGCTGTCAGACAGTAAGATTAAAGCCTTGCTACGGGCCTCATTGCAGAGGGAAGACAGACAAGACCAACACAAAAAGCAATGGATATATGGCCTAATTAGATCACTTTGTTTTTCCAAAAACTTACCTATGGAACCCATATCTTAAGGCTCTTACAATGCTAATATTTTTAACTATGGAAAGTATTCTAACTGTTTTCCTTCCACAAAAAAGAGAAGGTTAAATAGGTAGGTATCTTTGCAGTTTAATGCCAACTTTCTATACCTACAAATGATCAGGGCTATGAGTAGTTCCTGCCTGAAGAACAAAATGTGTTTTGGAAAATATCTGTAAGAAAAAGAATTTCAGTGACTTAGTGCTGTTACCTAACTTCTGCAAAGTAAGTACAACAACGCATTGGTTTACAAGATAAACGTGTAGAGAATTTGTGCAGCACAAACGCATGGCACATCTCCAAATTCCTGCTTCATCAGTGAGTGTACAAAGGCTTTACAGCAGAGATTCTGGGTTTTTATGCAGACTCATTAAATGGGTTGAATAAGGCCATATAGCTATATCCTCCAATAAGGACCCAAAAGCCTACTCTAGCAGACATTTCTAAAACTTCAAGCCCCCCCTCTTTCTTTAGTGAGTTTCCCTTCTTGAAACCACAGCAAATTTCACGTTTGTTAAGATCACACCCTCATCGAAACAAAAGAAGACATTGGCCATGAAGATCAATGATGTACAGCCTATACAAGCAACTGAAGGTCACACCACAGCTCTCAGAGCAGCTGGAGTCTCAGCTGGAATCAGAAGTCAAAGACAACTCATTACTAAGAGTCTCAGATGACTCAAGCATATTGCTGTATAGCTGAGAAAAAGAGTATGTCACCTCTTTTGGCTGAAGAAGGATCTGAAATACCAACAAGTGCAGTTCAATCATAAATGCTCAAGTACAAGCATGAGACATGGGTCACTAACATGTTTCTACAAATAAGCTTAAGTCAAAAGCTGGTGCTTTTTATATATAGGACTTTTCAATTGAGTGCAGAACCACAATAATTTTGTAACCAATTTGTACAACAAAGAAAACACATGGCAGGAACTACATGATGGAAAAAAGTGAACTGCGTTACTACATCAAAGCAATTCAGGAATACTGCAGACCTCATATCTTGTGTGAAAGTGGGCAGGTTTGCACACAAGCACCTGAGAAAACAAGTTTAGGGCAAAACCGTTTATGTTCAGAACCTCCTTGCTTGTTTCCTAAGGAATTGAGTAATTTTCTTTATTATATACTCTCAGCAAAATTATAATCAAAAAGAGCTGTGTTTCACACTGGATTGCTAACGTCTGGGCAGAACCTATTTTCTGGATGTAACAACGACAGACTAAATGAGGTAAATGAGTCTACACAAAGCTGTTCATGCAACTTCATCCTTCCCTCCTCGTACATACTCACCTTGCATGTTATAAGCTGCCAGCTGGACGGCTGTGTCAAAAGGACATTCCAATCTGCCGTAAGAGAAATGCATTGTTAAAACCTTAGCTGACACTAAATAACTCATATACTCGACAGTTAGAAACTGCAAATGCTTGGGATAGGAAGTGAAAAAGGATTAGAAGATTTTCAGCAAATTTACAAGAGATAAGCACTACATTATTTAAGCATTCCTCTGCTGCTACTCATGCATAGAAAAGTAATATTTTAGAGGAAAAAAAAAACACATTACATTACTTTGCAAAACATATTAATTATCCAAATATAAGTTTAATAAGTCCTATGCTAAACACACTGTAATTCTTTAAAAAGCTGTTTATCTGGAATACTTACTTTCCACTAAGAATATCCAGTTTTAGCTGCAGAACAAATAAATACCTGTAGGATTAAATAAGAAAGATGTGTCATTGATTAAAAGTTCTAATGGGTCACTCAGCCAACAGGAGGAAGTTAAAGCGTGACAAATAAAGATGTTTTCTACTGTTTACATGGGTTTTCAATACTAAAGAAACTACATTCTGATCTTTCAAGGCTGTATCAGTTAGGTTTGTGTGCTTTACACACGTTTCAAATGAAGTAAACTCAAAACTAAAAGTTGTCACAAGTTGAACTACAGTGTTGCATGGAAAAAGAATACCGCACCTAAGTGTCTTTTTTTCTCTTCTGATACCACTTGGGCAAAGAACAACTTGCATCTTCTGCATTTTCTTCATTATTCGTAGACATATGGATCTCATAAAAGAATGAATATTTTAAGGTCTCTCAAAAATAAATGTTCCTAATACAGATTGCTTAATTAAAATCTAACCCAGAAAGCTGACTGCAAAGTGACAAAAAAACCCCAAACAGTAGGCTGTAGCCTTTTCAACTTGTTTAATCTTCAGAGCCAGCTTTCCTTCACTGCCTTGCTTATTCAGTACTCTTCTTGCTTAAATTGGGCAAATATTGAATACAAAGCTCCTATGCCTTTGGTGTGCAAACCAATCCTTCCGATCCAATACCCACAAAGAGTAGTCCTCTTGCTGCATTATGGTACACAGCTTTCCTTCAACAAGAAAAGAAGTGGTCTCATCAACTAAAACACTGGCACCCACGATGGCATCCAGTTTGAATTGTACCACAGATGAACAGAAGCCTTATGCATAAAGGCAAAGATGATGCTTCTGTTTCAACACATGCCTACATCTCTTCACACCCACATACACAGACATGAAACAGATGCAGGCGTTTTTCCTGTAGGTCCCTTAGAAATCCACACTTTGCCAAACCCTTTATTATCCAAAGCCTTTTGAAAACTGGCCCCTATATGGGGAATAAATTTGTTTGTTACTGACCCTAGATATCAAAAGAATGAGCACAGGCCTCCAGTGTATAGTGGACATGACCAGTCAGTGCTTATCAACCACGTAACACTTACAAAGAATTCAGACGTGCTTCCCATGCTTAGGCTGTTTTACGTGACCTCTGACTGGTGGCATCTGACAGGAAGCTGGCAGAAAACGTGAGCAAGCCGCACCAGTGAAGCTGACAAGGGGCTCCACTGGGTATCCTGCCACACCAAGGAAAGGTGGAACTCTCAGAAAGCCCCTGCTAGTGACACCTGTAACCCATAGCGGAGCTCCTCTTCCCACTGCTTCTTTAAGGCGTAAAATTGTCTCAAGACAGAAGAAAGACTTGCTGCTCCCCTGCTTCTGGGGGATTAGCTCAAGCAGACAGACAGGGTTTAAAAGCCCTCAGGTTTCAGGTCTGCCATGCTAAAACCTGTATAGCAAGGTCTGACTGGCAGAACTCAGTCAGGATGGATGCAAATGTTTCATAGTGGTAGATACAGATGTAGGTCTGAATTTTGCTTATGGTTACTATTTTTAAAGACAGTTAAATGTTTATTCAGGAACATGAATGGAGACGTAAAACATTCTTCCCAGATTGGTAGAAAAGCATTAAAGAAGAGCAGTTATAACATTATGTTACCACATGTAAGCATGAAGCTGCACAGGGTACATATGGCTGTAAGGAGTAATGCTGCTATAATCTCCCTGGTAGCACTCCTAGGGATTTCGCTAAAGACACAGACATAAACCTGAACCACAAACAAATACACTTCACGCTCTTAGAAATGGCCAAGGGTACGAAGCATCTACAGCTATCAAAAAAACCTAACTTCATTTTCTCTCCAAAATGTATCAACAGAGGTGACAGTGCAAAGAAACATTGCCTTTTACAACAGATTTATACTACTGACAGATGGTAGGTTCTGTTCTCTTTCAAAGCACCCCACGTATGTCTCAGTCCAACATGAAATGCAGCATTATGAACGGATTTGCGAAATGCTTTAATCAAAAGAAGCTGCTGCTCACCTGATACTACAATCCTACACACGTACTACTGTCAACTCGCATCTCAACATGGTAGTAAAATACTATGTTCCCTTTGTATAAACTCTGCAAAGACCACAGAAGTAATGAAACGTTCCCTGAACTTATTTTTGCCAAAGAGAAGCTCTAACTTGCAATTAATGCTTTACTGCCTAAAGAGATATGATGACTGCATACAGTTGAAACTAAATGCAGCTTAAGAAGAATAAAGAGGAATGATGTCTGTACTCTTCAATAAAAACCTCTGTCCATCGTGTATAAGCTACTCAGATCAGTTGCAAGAACTGCCTAATGAAAAATGGTGCATCAAGTAATATATAAACATATAGATGTCTTTATATTAGAGCACATTTATTTCATGAAAGCTACATTAGAAACATTTACAAAAGCCAAGTAAGCAGCTCTAAACAATTCTCCAAAACACCATACAACTATTAAAATAAATACCACAAAAAACATTTACCTGGCCTTATTTGGATACCTCTTTCTCACACAAAAGTCCCTCTTACCTTGTTAGTTCTTCACGTAGATTGTTGGGCTCTGATGAGTAAAACTTTACACGAAAATGCAGACAATATGGTGGGCCAACTGCAAAATAGAATTCATTCAAGACAACAGTAACAGTTACTGGATGAGACATCTTATTTTTTATTACACAGAATCATATCACAAAACTTGACTGAAACTGGCTCTTTCCTACCCCAAGCTCTTAAGGCAGGAATTCCTTTGCGATAGGGAAACGCATGAAAAACATCAGGGTGAAAGGACACTTAAATATATGCACAAAATAGTTGTATATGTCAGAAGTCAATCCAACAGTCATATCACATTAAGTTGATTTGTCTTGCCAAGAGCACAGGAATCTAGGTTAATCCCTATATTTAAGGACTCTATCCATCACCAAGAAAGCTGTGCATCTTGGTTCTGCAGTTGACCAAGCCCCCAGGCACCCTGTTGGTCTCGGTAAAGCCTTTCCAGGGCTCTGGGAAACAGCTGCTGCTGACAACTCAGGCCCCTTTATTCCACAGAAATTTAGATATATTTTAGGAGGATTTAACAGACCCTTCTGTGGAAGAATCATCCTTTCTGGAAACCAAAGGGTTAATTCAGCAAAAGGATGGATTAACAGTTCTTTAAAAATGTGCAGCGCTCTGCTGATTCTTGCATCTGACAGGAGGAATTTTCTCTCTCTCGGTGCTTCCAAAACCTCTGTTGTATTAACACAGCACCACAAATCCCTGAAGACTTCTCACAGCGGAGAGCAAGGAAGCTGCTAAACGAAAATCAGCCGATGTCACAGCTTACCCAAGCACACACCACTGAAACAACCAGGCCATGCTAAACCCTTGTGCAGCAGGTAAGGACTTGGTGGACCGAACACAGATTCAGGCATTCAGGACTGCCCCAAGGGATGGAGGCTCCAAGACAAGTTTTCCTATAGTTAGGATAACCATCTATAACACTAAATCATCTTCAGCTGCCTTGACTGCACTTAAACTATAATTAATGAGCCTCTAACATGTTTAATTAAGGACATGATTAAAGTAATATGAGCTACAGAGGGAAGACATCATTAAACAATCAGCAGCCCCATGCTAGGTTTTTGTCACTTGGGTCTTGTCACCCCTTACAGGACACTTCTCCCCACCACCCATTTCAACTCTCTGTGCCTCCTGTATGTTCAGTATGAGATGCCAAGAGAAAATGGAAAGGCCACTTACTTTTAACTTGCTTTTTAATGCTTTTTGTGTTGTCCAACCAATGCTGAAAAATAAATTACTTTCATTGAATTACCAATAAACAAATCTCACAAAAAGAAGAAAAAAGGGGAAAAATGCTATTCATTAGAGAAGACCATTTTGGAATAACAAGTAGTTCGTTAAAACAATCTAATCCAAATCTTTCACAATTCACAGCTCTCTCAGTGCTCATCGAAGATCCTTTCACTCAAAAGTTTGTACTGCAAAATGTCAGTTTTGAACTACAGAAACCTCCTGCCGTGCCTTTTTTAAAGCCAGTCTTGAAGAAAGCAATATCTACTTTAAAAAAAAAAAAAAAGTACTGACAAACCACTTTACTAAAATTTTCATCCCATCCAGACAAACAAAACAATTCTCATGTTAGTAGGTCAGCCAGCAACAATGTGCCAGAGAGGCATAACTCATAGCTGGAGACTCTGGCACTCAGTAGTGTGCGATGTTTACTTGGGGTGGAAGGGGAGAGACAAAATAAATATTGTTGGCTTTCAGACATTTTCTTTGCATGGCTCAGTGTTAGCAACAGCAAAGCTGTCTATATCCAAACATAAGGGTCAGCTCTACCTAATTCTCCAAAATCTATTCACAGGTGACATTTTAGCAATTGTCACATGGGAGGACAGAAGTTACTGCCTCACCTACTAATGCTAATTATAAGCTATATACTACATGTGAAGCCAAAATAATGGCTTCACTTACACTGCATATAACAGCACATGAAAAATAAGCTATAGATGACAGGTTGAGAGAAACATCTACACATACATGCTATGCTCCCTAAAATAATTGGATATACTCCCACTGCTGAAGAGTTTATACCAGAAATTAAAGATAAGGCTGGAAAGTTAACATAACAACTAGCAGTAGAGACCTACTTCCAAGTGCCATGCACAGTGAACAGCTCCATCCTCCAAAGGAGGTGACTCAGTTAAACAGTAAACACCCGATTTGACGTCATTGCATTGAGTCAACAGCCAGAGCAAACTACCTAGCATACCATGTCCTGCATGGTTCACAATGCCCAGGTAACACCACCTCATTTGATCAATCCCATATGTTACCGTGCAACTAATAAGATGAACTATATACTTAGCAATGCTCCTTTCATTAACCTGTGTGCTATGAAGTTCACAGCGGGCCCCACGGAGGACAGAAAAGCAACAGGGCTATGGGAAAGAACCGGTATTTTCAGGTTGCAATGCCAAGTGCAAACACATTCCTGTCTTCAGAGCAGCCCTGCCTTCTGCAGAGAGTGTATAAAGTCAGCCTGTAATGCAGCCAGGATATTCAGATTGATGTATTCACTGCAGATCAGAACAACTGAACCATCTACTGCTGCTGTGCGCACAGTTGAAAATGCTCTTATTAGCTATTAAAACAAAGTAGCTACACAAATGTATCTAATTTTTTTTTAAAATAAAACAGGAAGCTTAAGGAAAAATTAAGCAAATATTTATGTCAACTTTGCTTACACTACCAGCAAAACGGAGTTCAGCTATTTTTGTTTGTTTGCAAAGAAAATCATACAATCTTTCTTCCTGTTCCATAAACTCACTAGCTGGAAGAGACAATTTACTTACTCCTTCCTCCACCATAAAAATATACAAACTACCTACTCAGAGGCTTGCAGGTGATTTAGATAGAGGAATGGCAGAGCGCGCCATTTCTAGGCTCCAGGACTGGCTGTGCGCGCCTGCTTCATCTCCCTCCTGTTTTCTCTCATCTCCTCCACATTCCATGGGAAGGCAACCGAGAGGCCCGCAACAGGCACTGATAGCGTTTTACTCTGCTCAGCTCTTACTGCCGCTGTCTGTCTACATGAGCTCCGTCTGAATGGTAAGGGGGTGTGTGGAGGAAGGGAAACAGAAACTGCTTTTAAACAGAGGGGAAGGACAAAAAAAAAAAATTAACAACAAAACCCGCCCCAAACCAACAAATGCATGGACACACACAGACGTCAGGAAAGTTAAGATTTATTCCAAGTGATTAAAATGGAATTCAAATGGACCTGGCAAAAAGTTTACATTTTGGTGAGAGTTTGCTCAGCACAGCCTACTGCTGAAATCCAGAGATAAAAGTTTGCTAAACAAAAAGCAGTATGAACAACAGACTGGACAGAGTACTGAGAGTCCTAACTAAAACAGTTTGCTGCTTCAGAAAAAAGACCCAGCAACATTTCAAGAAGGTAGGGTAAACGAGGGGTTTTTTTGTAAGATGGTGAGGCTAAAACTGGAATTTTATAGAATTAATAGGTGCATACTTAGTGCAATGCTATATAAAGTATTTCAGCATTAAGCACTACGTTAGACAAAACTGCCAGAGTAACAAACCGACATGTTGTACAATTCCATTAGGAATAGCAAGTATTTGATGCTTGCAACCTGTATGGCAGAATTAGAAATTTGCCACCTGTTACGTGTTCGACGCCTCCTTACTAGAAACATCTTTCCAGCATCACTAGAGGGAAAGCTAAATAGCCCAACAAGTTAACAACAATCTTCATCTTTCATGTCACCAGGCATGCTGCGCTATTCACTGTCAGCCTGAATCAAAGCTACTCAGATATAGCCTGTTCCCTTGGCTGCCAGATCAAGTCTGATACATGGTGGACAATCTTGCAAATAAATCCCTTTGCCATCTCCTGCCTCTTACTGGGGGGTGGGGAGAATCTATTCCTAACCATCAGACTAGCAATGAACATAGAAGTCACATGAGAACAACAAATCTTTCACTTCTTTAACTGTTTCACAATTTTTTTTAAAGAAGCCAGTATTTGAAAATTTCAAAGTGTCAGGAAGAGTTCATATTAATCTGGGTTTGGTTTTGGTTCCCCCCCCCCCAGTACATTATAAACTTAAATACCTAACTACTAATCATTTAAGCAGCTCAAAAGAAGAAAGAAGCTATCCTTCAGTTGATCAAAATTAATCTAGTGAAAACAAATTTGTTGTTAAAACAAGCAGGGAATTTCTCAATTTTTTGTTTAACTACATGTTGCTAGTTTGCTAGAGTTTTTATACCGTCAGGTGCAATTAGCTAGTAAGGCAATATACTTAGATTTAAATTGGGTAGCAGAAAGATTATCTCCTTCAGAGCCAGTGGACAATTCTGTCCACAGTAAAGGACTGGATTCTTACACTGTTTATTTAACAGGTCTCCTGAATAATCTTTGACAAGTCACTTGATTGGTCTCTGCCTTTGTTTCCAACTGCAGATTGGGTTTCTGCTAGAATGTGCCAACTCCTCTTTGCAAGAACGGCTGCCATCACAACAGTTCTTCATTTCTTAAAGCAGTTATCTCTGGCTGTTGTGTTCAGCTCTTCTGGCAAAATGCAATCTTTTCTGCTACGTTACACAGAGTGTATCATTAAAGTCCAGTTTAAACAGATTGTTATCTCTACTCTGCCTCTTTTCAGTCACACATAGTTAAGAAAAGGAAGCAAACAAAATTTGAAATCAGTTGTACCTGGTAGATTATGTAGTATCAAATACTCAATCGGGTGCTGTCTGCATTGGAAGTAACAATTTGCTGGACTAAAGCAAGCCACCAGCTATTACTGAGACAGAAAAGATTAACTCTTATTTCCCCATTTCAAGATGCAATGCTGTTATTTGATAACAGGACAGTAAGAGAAAAAAGTTTACCATAGAGATAGTTTCACTAGTTATAACTAACCCAGTCTGAACTCTTACGAGATCTTAGAGGAACATGGAAATACTTCATAAAGCACACAGCAGAAATTGAGTTAGGATACCTAAAACATACAGTTTATTATTTTTTTCTGAAGCAAAAAGATAAATGCAATGGAGCCATTCACTACCAATACTCAACACTGTAGACTGCACAAGCTTAACATAGTTAACATGATTTTTATAAATATAAAACGGTATGCAATGGGCTGTTTTCTAATTTCTGTTGGTAGGAAGTATGCATGCTTCTGAATGACATCCCTCTGTTAGTGTAACAGTCTTTTCCTCCTTTATTTTAAACGTCTCTGTTCTGCAAGAGGTTTAAGACCACTTTCACTACTGGAAACTGCAGCCCAGCAGCTAATCCTGCTAGTGATGAAGTTTGCTTCAGGTGCTGAACACAAATTATTTTCTCAGAAGAGAATGTTCTTTACAATACAAGCTAAGCATAAAACTTGATGGCAGTAATTCTGAAAAGAAGCCATCAGGTTGTAAGTGTGCTTTGGGGTAGATAACAGTGTCCAAAGCTGTCAGCTTCTTTCCAAGATTCAAGCTTGGGGAGTTTTTTGCCATTTTTACCATTAAAAAGATTACTTTTGCTGATGAGAAAGTTAATGGCATTAGCACAAGAAAACTTTCTTCACTCAGTAAAAGAGCCAAGTGCATGCTCTAGTTTTGCCCCTTCCTCTCTGCATCAGCAGCATCAAGAATTTCTACGTGATGTGCCAGGCTCTGGGTTCCTACTGGTCCAGCCTGCCTAAGGATAACTGAAGGGGAGACAGGAACAAGTGAAAGACAAGAAAGGAAGAGACAACAGCATTATAATATGTTAGAATGGTCACTTAAACACACCACAGAGCTTCTGCACAAAACACAACTCAAAAAAGACAGCTTTCGTATAGCATTTTTGTCAATGTTAAGATTTAACTTGGGGGGGGGGGAGAAGACCACCGCTACTCACCGCCACTTGTGCAGAATCCATGAACCTTAATCCAAAGTAGTCACTTTCAATAAGGTCCAGATGATACATGATCTGTTCAAACAGGAGCTGCCCTTTGGCTTTTTTCTGAAAATATAAAAGGATTTAGGACTTAGCAGATAGATTTACTGTAGCATCTACTGTCTTCTAGGCATACTTTATATTGTAATTCCAAAAGTAAGAGAATTCCAAAATTAAGCTTCTGAAAAGATAACGTGGAAATTATTTTTTTCTCTCCTATTTTTTGATGGCTGTTTTTCTGAAAGGGAAAAGCACACATATTATCCTTACAAGACTTGCATAATGTCCTTTTTTGGAAAATAGCAACAATGACTTGCACAACACAGTGTTAAAATGTCATTTCATCATCGCCCCTTTTAGGTTTTCCTTACCAAAGTTCTATTGAACTGGAAATATAGCTAAGTACACAATTGCAACGACTAATGCACTGGAAAATTTTTCAGAATAAAGTATAGCAATTTGCTTAAGAATTTATTACTATGTGATATCTAGGCAATTCACCAGATTTGAAGCAGGTAGCAAAGCATATTGAATCAGGCTATAGCATTCCATTAGCAAGTCTTTTAACAACTGACAGGAAACAGGCTGGGGCAAACAACTTTAACAAATAGTACTTAGATAATGCATCTACAAAAGTGAGTTTATAAAACTCACTTGTAGGTGCAAAAAGCCACTGCATATGTTCATGCATAACTTATGAAAAAACTTAGCTTTAGCCCCAAGTAAACATCATTTTTACAGTGATGATCTAAAAAATTAAACAGTTGTTTTTAAAGAGAAGGCACATAAATAGCACTGGGCAGTTTCTACGCAACATACATTTTTCATGCTATGAACTCCATAGTAATACACTGAAAGAAGAGCTTAGCGGTAATACCTGAGATGCCTAAAAGTTATAAAAATACATTAATAAATTATTAGTAGATCAGAGTACAAGTCATGGTGTTGAGAAGAATTATTTTTAAATGCAAAGAAATGCACAACGGATTTATGCTTACTCTGCAAGCAATTTAAGTATTTCTCCATTTCCATAATACTATCCATCTTGCAATCTTTTATCTTAATATTTATACATTCACAACTTGAGAAATGGACTAACCTTCTAAGCATATTTTATAGTAAGCTACTAATTGGCAGTTAGTCCACCCCTCAAAATTCCTGGCCAGCCAGAATTCTTATTCTCAGAAATAATCTGGTTTAATCACAGTGTCATATCCATGTAAGAAAAGCAGCATGCATAATTTTTGCCACCTTCCTCTAACTTGATCTTCAAATATTTTATATTCAGCTTTGCAATTGTAATCATTGGTTTACTCTATGCTTTAGTTAAATCCAATATGACATTTCACAGCCCAAAGTAAAATCTAAGAAAAGTCTATAAACCGAACCTGCCTAAGCAAGTTCTCCCACAGTTATTTATTTCCAAGTATTTGGGGAGGTAGAGAGAATACAAGGCAATTAGACCAGCAGGCAACTTCACATGCACATAGCACCTATAAAACATTGTATAATGAAAATGCTGAGATGTAGACTTCATCAAACTCATTCAGGGCAAGTTTCTTATGTTGACTTCAAGAAAAAGTACTTCTCAGGCAACAACAGATTTATTAAACACAAGCAAGACTCTCCTAAGAGAAACCTTAACGCAAATCACCTACACATACCAAATCACCAACCACGCATTTCTTCCACTGTTTTGAGTCTGTAGCATCCTTCTTGAAAGAGCAGGGCATTGAAATGTTGCTATTTTCTCTCAGCACAGGAGATCATTTGCTTAACCAGTAAAAGGTACTAATGCAACAGCAAAAGTAGAAAAATGTTTTATTTTGCATTAAGCTTTCAGCACCTTGTCTAAAACTGGACAAAAAACTTCCCTTATTGGGCAGAACACTGTAGATCCTTCACAATTCCTAAGTCATCTCTTAAAACTGTAATTAACCAGTTATCCCATTCAAATTCCCTCCTGGGGACAGGCAATGGAGCACTTCAACTTGAGCCTGGAATTACTACATGTACTACCTCACACCACCAACCACCAAACCTCATTATTGTTCAAAATTCTGCAGTGTCAAATTAGTTTTAGAGCATGTTCACCTTTTTGGTAATCTCAACAAAGGACTCAAAGATCAAGTGGACCCAGAATGACTAATGTGGGAGAAGGTCCCTGAAGAAGAGCGCTGGAGTGGTTGTGGAAAGATATGTAGGGCTAATGGTCATTTGCTGACTTAAATCACCAAGGCTGTCAACATGGAATTAATTATGCAATACTCTGCATATGACTTAAACTGTCAGTGGTTGTATTTGGCACAAGTCAGCAAAAGTTTCACAAATGCTTTAATGTTTAATTCAAATTTTTTCTTAAAGCCTTAAAATCCGTCCTCCTTATATTTAAACAAACGGCAACCAAAAATATTACTTTGTAACCAGTCAATTCTTAGGAATCAAACAATTTCTTTATATTCAAGAAATTGTGATCTCAAGGTTTCTTTTGAAAGGCATAGCAATGATACACTTTTATTACATTTTCTGGTGAAAAATTACCATAGCTCTCTAATGGCAACATTCATTTTAACTGACATTTTATCCTGCTACTACCCCATGCTCCCCCCCCGCCCCTTTTCTTTTCCTTGCAGCAGAGCTCAGGTTCCTCTCAAAGCACAAATATTTTCAGGCTGCTTAATGGTTACCAATGAACTATTAACGACTTCACTCACAAGCACTCCAGCCAGCGTCCGGTCCTCCCTTTAGGGCAGAAATTAAACTCCTCGCGAGTTTGAAATTCTGTAAAACCCAACTACCTGATTTACAGTTTGCTATACTGCGGTAGGAGGCAACAGCAAACATCTCACAGCAGGAGAGTCACCAGCTGAACTGGGAAACTTAAATAAAATATATCACTTATGTAGGGCAGGGCATCTAGGGGTTTTGCCACACTTTGGAATGAGATAAAAGCATCTTTTGATTGCTTTGGTATGAATCGTGCCCCTCCTCCCCCCACCCCTGAATGGAAGGGATGCTCCCAACTATGTCCTACTGACATCTCATGCTGCTTTTAACTGCAATTGCTGGCTGAGTAGGTGTTACAAAGGCTGGACTTAACCCCAGTAGCTCAGCAGCAGGGATGGGTAAAGCCAACTCCGGTGTTCACCTGGGCAGGCTGGTTTGTCCCTTCATCGCTGGGATGAGGTGATACAGAGACATCCACCTTGGCTCAGGCATCTCAGTACTGCCTAAAACCAGAGGCAGTGTTTATACCCTTCTTCTCATGGTCTCAGAGGTAAAGGTTACTTCATGGACACACATTCAAGAGCATAAGCCAGCAGCAACTTGGTGCTCCACAACTTGCAGGTCTGATCTAAAAGCCATTTTCAGTACTAGCAGCAGCCAGTACAGACCAGCACCCGTGAAGCAACACTAGCTTACAACAGCTGGGGATGGGACCCTTGTGCTGGGCAGGGTCCAGCTGAATGGCTCACTACTTCAGGTTTTTATCAGGTTTTTAATCACAGTGAAGTACTTGAACCTTCCAAAACTTGGAAGAAAATAAAACGAAACCAAAGAAGCCCACCTAATGAATTTACTAACTAAAATGCTTATCAGAAAAGGATTTTTCTCTTTATTTCTTGTCTATGTGAAGAAAAGGGGATCCCTATATAACATGAACTCTGAAAAAAGAGATGAATAGGCTTTACTTTCATGGGACTCGTTATCCCTTGTGTCTTTGGAGCTGTACTTTTCTGTCAGATTTCTTCAAGTGATTATGTTAATGTTACTTATTACTAATAATTAATGGTAGCTATTGTCTTCAGTAGTTACTGAAGGGCAAAAATCTCCCTTCATGGTTTTTGCCAACTCATTAGGAGGGTTACCATTCATATTCATACCGGTTTCCTCAGAAGACCCCATTAAACCCCCTGCAGAAGCTAGGGACCCCTATTCAGGATTTACAGCTACCCCTTGCTAGGATGTCACCTGTGCACGTTTGCAGACCATGGCAGTGTGAGAGCAGCAGATGAGCCTGTCCATTTTTTATGAAGTTACTCTCCCTTCTCCCAAATGACATGTTTCAAAAAAATAAGCCATGGGAAATCTCCAACAGTGAGCCCTAAGGGAAAAAGATTTCATCTCGATATCATGAAAACAGTATCTATAGTTAACACCATTAAGGTTTGCTGGAGAATTGGAGGGTTAAACCCCCTTATCTTTACAATGGCAGTGTTAGAAGTACACATTATTTGTATCACCCTGATCTTCTTATGGCCTTAAGTACTGATCTACAAATGGAGTTACTCCTCTCCTCAAACTTCAAGCATCAATCTTTCAAATAACTTTTCCAAACTCCCCAGTGAATTTTCTCCTCCATCTGAAGACGCTGCTGGCAGCAAAACACCAGTTCTGCTTCTCTCTCTGGTTTATCCCCAGCCTTTGACAACATGCACCATATATTCTTGTAACGAGTAAAAAGCCCTGCAGGTTGGAAGGCTGCAGAGAATAATTTCTACCTCCAGAGGCAGAGCTTAACAATTCTTCTATTTACTTAATCTCTCCCAAATATAGGAAGATAAACATTTGGGATTAAACATTTTGTTGTGTTATTCTCTGGAGAAAGAAAAAGGTATCTCCCAAAAATCTTATAAAGAATTCAATACCCATTATAACTGTACTTTTATTAGAATTAGGATTTTAATGTACTGTGCTCAGGCTTATTGTCCCTATACATAAAAAGATAAAGATTCGAAACATTTGTACTTGTCAGTTTCTTTTGCCAGAAGTCTCTTTCTTTTCCTCTCCCAGAAAGTTTGTATCTTCTAGTTACACATTTGATTTAATCAATTTCTGAATCTATCTCCTAATGTTCTTTCTCATGCAGAATATATCCAAACCCCTTGTCCAGCATTAAGATTTAGAGATTAAATACCTCCCTCCGGTATATTCTCAAACGTTTCAGTTTTATTTGGTGTTCCACCTGCAGGTTTCTCAGGAGTAGTCTGGTTAAGAGCGTATGTCTCTGGTTAAGAGCTCAGTCTTTGAGCTCTTTCCAGGGGCAGTTCAGTGGGAAAGCAGGG